GTGTAGGTACCGAATGGCATATTCTAATGCACATAGGCGCTTTTGCCAAAATCACTCTTTTTAGAATAATTTTGAAGTAACAAATGCTTTAAGTCCCACAGCTGCAGCACCTATTACACGCCCAGTAGCAGAGCTCATTTGCACACATTTGCAACAGCCTTCAGTCAAAAACCGGAGCTTTCTACAGAGAACTATGTGCTTTTCACAAACACTGTTCTGTTAGAGCAGTGTCAGGTTGACACCGCTTTTTCAAATGGATGTGAATGTTGCAACGTGCAGTATCCAGCATTAGGGGAAATTAGAGGCAGAAAACATTTTCAAGGTTAATGCCGTTCCGTAATTCATACCTGTACTCGGACAGTTCATACCACCGCGTGCACGCAGCTAAAGAGGCTAACTAAACAGACAAAAGCTAATTAGAAATAGGCATAGCCTAATTAAAAATATATGTTCGTTTTGAAGCTTTCGGTTTCTGGTTTCTAAGCCTCAGTGGTCAAAGTTTTCCAAGAGTCACCGCTCCAACATGAGTGGCTCAAGATTTACTTCTGCCGCAGGCAGAGCCGCACGCAAGCAAAAGCTGCTTAGACAGGGTGATGGAGAAGGAATTAGAACACACAGTATCAAAAGATGTGGTTTGAGGGGAAAAAAATCCTGACTAGCACTATTAACACCATTTAGAACTAAAGCAAGCCAGGAAAGGGCTAAATACAGCAAGTGCAGACCGCTTCTTATGCTCCCTCATTTCTCCCCCGCTGCCAACCACCACGAGCTGGATCCCAAACCAGAGCTGAGAGGATTTAGAGACGGAGACTCGACAAGTAGGCGCCGACTTATTCCCGTGACCCTGCTGCACTATGGCACTGCAGGATCCACTGCGTCACCTTTTGCTCAATAAAGGTTGCATTTTTACCCATTCTGCACAAAAGCCGACAGTCTCGTGCAATCCAGTCGTTGTGATACTGATGGTTTTGTGACAACTGACACACACACTCCTCCCCTTCTCCTCTCCCCAGTTTCCACGAGACCCCATGCCCCAGTCCTGCCAAACCCAGCCAGCTTTAAACTGCAGTGGACTTTTCCCCACGGACTGACCCCAGCTCCCGCCGAGGGGGAAGAGTGGCACAGCACAGCAGAGATTTTCCCCTCCTCCTTTTTTAAGAGTCAATTTGTACTGAAACAGAAAGCAACAATCGCCCAGGCAGCTACTCGAACAGCCAAACAGCCGTCTGTTGGGAGCTACAGGAGCACTAGATGTGATTATTTAATATCTGAAGGCAGTTTCGACCATCATGATTTGCCATATGAACTGGATTCTGGCCACTATCCAACAAGAAATAGATGCAACAACACCTTCACAGCAACATTTAGTATCTTATAAATGTATTGACACAAATACGGAGAAATTTTTGTCTGTCACAAAGCCAAAGTTTTGTTGGTGACAATAAACGAGTTTGAATCATAACTTCAGAGAGAAAGAAACCATCGTAGAAACTCAAGTTGTAGTCATAAAAAAAACCAGTTAAGAGGATTAGCACAAGATTTAAACACCAAAACAAGGCACTGTTTTTGTTAGCAACACTGAGCTGGCCAACCCCTTCGGTGTTCTAACAACAGAGGGCCCTTGCAGCAGAGCCTGCTCATGCCCAGCCGGGCAGCGCGCTGCCGGTGCCCCGGCTGGCGCAAGCAGCAGCTCCAGGCACCCCCTGCACCCCCGTGGCCGGGAACATGAGCAAGTCCCTGTGCAGGAAAGGGAACTGTAAAGACAAGACTTTGTTTTGCCTTCCAGGTAACTGAGCTCACGATTGTTCTGGGGATACTTTTTAGGTATATTCTACATTTCATAAATAAAACCATTGGAATTTAATTCCCATTCCAGTTACTATTACTCTCTCAGAAACAACTGAAAGATGGTACGTGTAACCATCAAGCAGAGAAAATAAGCCAAGAATGACTGACGTTTTTTTGTCGGTCTCTTATTCTGGACTCAGACTCTACTTTGAGTTATGAAAGTTACTGCTCGGAGCACTTTGGGATAAATGGATGGATGAAACAGTTGTGATAAATAAATGCTCCTTATGTACTATCTTGTGGAGGTTTACATTCTGAAATTGCCACAGCTCAAACCAGCGCAGAGCTTTTGATTTAGAGGAGTACAAACACACCAAACACGGCCAGGATTCACAAAAGAAATATTTTTTTACAAATGCCTATTTTCCTGTCTTTCTGTAGATACACACATATTCTTCTAGCTTGAGTGATCCAGCAATATTTGCAGTTGTTCACAGATACGTAAACCCATTTTACAGCACTTCAGAAGAGGGGAAAAAAAATTCTGAATGACAGCAAAGGAAGAATAAAGGTCAGCCTGAATCCAAGTCAGAGTCACTGCAACTTTACTTCCCCGCTGCAATCACTGCAGTTCCCCTTTGTACACCCGTGACACTCGGCTCAGACAGCAGCGATGGTCAGATGGAACGAACTAGCTAATGGGTAGAGTCATGTGGAACCGCTGCCCACCTATTGCCAAGCACCACCAAACGATCCTGCCTGCCCCGTTATCAAAGGGAGCACAAGGACAAGCCCCGCATTTCCATGAAGTCGTGGGAATTCAATCAAATACTCCTCAGCACCACTATCACGCAAGATTCAGCGTCTCCCCTTTGAGACAAACCCAAATTTGATGCAGAGGCAGCTACAGAGATCCTGCTTGCACCAACCACAAACTCAGCCTTCTGATCTCACATCACCCTGGCCATTCTCAGTGCTGACTTCCACACTTGAGCATCAAAATTAGCTTCTATTTCAAAACGTTGTTTTTTGCTCTACAACATGGAGTTCAATGTACGTTAATATCATATAGCTATATAAAAATTACAGTGCAATTTCTACAAGAAAGGAGTTTTTAATTCATTTTGACAAACGCTGACTATACTAGTGCAACCAGCCTCCACAGCCAGCGAAATGGAACATGTTAATGGACACGGAAAAAAGGGGGAAGGGAAGGCAGCGAGAGCGGAATAATGAATAGCTAAGTATCACAAACTGCAAAACAGCTTACAGGGCCAGCTGGACATGCCCAGCCTCAAATTTCTGAGGAGCGAGACATGCGTTATGGTTTTTCACAACATTCGTATCATAAAACCAGAAATTCCACTTACTATGAGGTACTGTTTTATGCCAACTCTTTTCTCGCATCTGATTGGACTATCCTTATTAACTGCTACTCACTTTAGTCAGAGTTGGTATTTAATGGACAAGCACAAATAAAGACCAACAATCAAGCACTTAATCTACTGCAACATACTAAAAGCCACCCTGGAATCAGCAGTTGTAAAACACGCCTGTAAACGCAGTGTTAATTGTTATGCAATAGTAGATCAATTGTTCTGTCTGGATGACCACAACACAAATCATAAAATAATTAAAAAATATGGTGACCTTACCAAGAGCTATGATTCTAAAAATACTTGACTTAGAGTGAAACAACCATAAAAATACAGCGAAAACCAGAAATTGAGTGTTGAGATATAATACCAAAAAATGCAAACAACAATAAAAATCAGCAAACCAACTAAACAAAAATACCCATTTAACTCTTTTACCACCCAATTTCTGTAACGAAATAAAACAAAGGACACACTAGGAGCGATGGGGAGGGATGGAAGTTCTTTTGCTTTACAAATATTAAAGCACTGGAACACCAATCGAGGTACAAGATTCTTTACAAAGTGCTCCTCCCTTGCTACCTGCCACGAGCTCCCTTCAGCCGCTCCGTCACTGTGGACTAGATGTGCAAAACGGCCCAGACTAATCCCGAAAGATGCCCCCATGGCAGGGGCGGCAGACGGAGCGTGCCGCTCGCCCCCCGAAGTGAGCAGGGTCTCAGAGCGCTGCTTTGCCTCCGCTTCTTCCAAGAGGATTTTCCATGACAGTAAGTGGTATTGGATCACCAGCGCAATCCAGGCACCAAGTTTTAACGGATAACAAAGCAACCCATCGCTCATTTCAGAGCCCAAAACTCCAAGAGTAAAAATGCTGACAAGCACCATAAAAGTCTCCTCTCGTGCCTTTCATCTCCTATCGCTCACAGTTCAGGGACCAAGTCTCAGGATTTACATGTCACCGGATTGTCTCAGCGATGCAAACGGCTGCACTTTTGAATAAATACAGAAGCTCCCCTACCGGGGCACAAAATTGTTCCTTGAAATTTTGCAGTCAGTTTAATGCTCTTCCAAACTATTTACAAAAACTTCCAAATCACTAGCACTATAAATATGTACTTAAACTGAATTTTCGAAAGGAACACATAGGATATTACAACACACAGAAGTATTAGCACACATCAGTAACCTAATGTATTTTATATTTTCCATGCAGAAAAACAGGAGAGAAAGCACCGAAAACATTAACAGCAAAATACTTTCTAAAGGCTTACAGATACTCACATACCAAAACTTTTATCTCAGAGAAACAGAATTCTTTCAGTATTTCATATCAACCCTTGGGAGAAAGAGCAAAAAGAAAAACTACCTCTTTCCTTCTAGTTTTTTATTATGGTACCGCAACGCCTTCATTAAAAACTTCATTTTCAGAAAGTACCACAAGCTCATTTTAACAGCTGAAGAATTCAGTCTACAAAGAGCAACCCTTCTCTATCATTGGCGAACACCGAATACATCCCC